CAACTTCAGCTCCAAGGATGGAGAGCTAACTGTGATATTCAAGTTGTTATTGATCACTATGCTTGTGTTGAATATCTCACAAAATATGCAGCTAAAGGTGAGCCAAGATCACCTATATTGAAACAGGCATTCAATTCTATTGTGCAAAATGTCGACAGTAATACTGACCCTCATAGAGTTATTAAGAAGGTAGTTATGAAATCTCTTGGTGAAAGAGATTATGCAGCTCAAGAGACAATGCATCATTTGTTGTCATTAAAATTCCACAGCTCATCCTTTAAAGTGATGCCAGTTAGTCTAAATGGTTCACGTAGAGTGCGTGATACTGCAAGTATTGACGAGGGTGAATCATGCACCGATTATTCACTTCTTGATGTGTATGCTAATCGTGAACAATATGACAGTTCACAAAATATAATAAATATGAACTTTGTTCAATTTGCTACAACTTACAAAGTTGTTAACAATGAACTGACAAAATTGCCAGAGAATATTATACCACGAATATTTCCAACATATTCTCCTAATCCCAAAGGTCCAAATTTTGGCCTTTATTGTAAATATCAACTTTTGAGGTATAAACCGTGGAGAGCAACCCAAAATAATGCATGGGGTGACCAAGAACCAACTGACGAGGTTCTGATCAATTGTTGGCATGAATTTTTACAAACACCTTATGGTCAGTCTAATGTTCCAGACTGGTTTGATAAATTACAAGCTGTCATTGAAAGTCAAGAAGCAGAAGATGAACCTTCTGAAGAACAGGAGACAACTCGAGAAGAGTGGATGATATTATCAGACCTCAACACTCCTTTTGACAACTCTGAACAAACACCAGAGTCCACATATGACTGGCAACTCGACAGAGCCAATTATTCAGAACAACAAATTCAAGAAATGCCAACATGGATAAAAACAAACAAAGAGGAATACACTGTTGATGAGCAATATGATGTTGTTGACATCAACAGTTTTAGCGAAATGCAAAAACTTGCTTATGACATTGTTAAGTCTCATTTTGATGATACATCATCTGAGAAAGAACCATTATGTCTCATTATAAATTGTGTTGCAGGAACTGGTAAAAGTTACATTATTAATGCTATTAGAAATCTTTTGCAAAGTAAATGTGCTGTTACTGCTACCACAGGTAAAGCAGCTTATAACATTAGAGGTGTAACTGTGCATTCTCTATTAAAGTTACCTATAGGATCAAGAGGTAATAAAGACCTCACAGGACAAAGCTTGTGTAGGTTACAAGAGAGTGTTAATAACATTGGATACATCATTATTGATGAATACTCCATGCTTGGCCAAGTTACTTTTGGTTGGATAGACAAGCGTTGCAAACAAGCAACTGGTTATAATGACAAAGTATTTGGAGGAAGATCATTGATTTTAACTGGTGATCCAGGTCAATTGCCACCAGTAGCAGATAAACCTCTTTACCATGCTAAACCATCAAATGCTGTTGGTGAACAAGGTCATCAAGCATATCATATGTTTGATAAAGTTGTCAAACTCACTGTAAATCAACGTGTGCAAGGTATGACATCTGAGCAAGTACAGTTCAGAGATTTGTTATTGCGACTTCGCAAAGGTGACTCAACTGTTGATGACTGGAAATTACTTCTGACACGCCAACCATCAAATGTCACTAATTTATGTGACTTTGAAGATTCTACTAGACTCTTTTATAGTAATGAACAAGTTGGTAATTACAACCATGAGCAGCTAACAAAACTTGAGCATCCAATTGCTCATATTAATGCGCGTCATTCATCTGCATTGGCCAAAAAGATATCCTCAGATGATATGTCTGGGTTAGAACCCGTTGTGTTTCTAGCAAAAGGTGCTAGGGTCATGTTAACCATGAATTTGTGATCAAGTGTTGGCCTCTGTAATGGGGCTACTGGCACAGTTGTTGATATTATCTATCAGGGGCCGGTTGTATAAAAACGTAATTAACTCTAACTGTAGTTAGCGTTAATCACTGTAGTTAAATCCTTAACTGTAATTAGTTAACTACATGACTTAACTGCGTTGCACAAAACGTAGTTAGTCGGATAGTTAACTAATCACGTAGTTAACTGTGCGTGGGGCATGCGTGGGGCGTTTAAACACAAAATTACATAAAGTAAGCAGCAAAAAACGACCGCTGACAAACATTTTCAACATGATTGTGGACTCGTATTTTGCAAATAGGCGGGAATTTTATTCAAAACACTAGAAAAACAATGAAAAATATACAAGAAAACAAGGAAAAACCACCCCAAAAATCATAAAAGAATGCAGTTTTTCCTTGAGATGCCCACGTTAAACCAAGGTAATGCTGTTTGGCAATTATATATCAGTGTTTCTTGGTGTAATGGACCATACTTCGTCTTCGAGAAATCGTCCTGTGCAAAAATATGTTCTGTTTTCGTAAAACACCAAAGCGATAGCGTTTGAAGAGTTTATATTGTCAGGAAACATTCACAGGGAAGATAGCGATTGAAAATCTCAGGTAACCGTTGCTTTTCATTGTTGTTTTATTGAAAAATGTTGTTCACTCCTATACAAACGCCATTTTTAACTACGTTTTGGACAGTTAACTATACCCTAAAGCATAGTTAACTTTAACTACTTGTTAACTGCAGTTAAGGCTAACTACACTTTTATACAACCGGCTTAACTACGTGATTAAAGTTAACTATTTTTTAAGGCTTTTTAACTACTTTTTAACTGCAGTTAGCGCTATCTACGTTTTTATACAACCGGCCCCAGAACAACCATCAACCTCCTGACTTACCTATTGCGGTAATAGTAGAATAATGATTTGTGAATCTTCACTGCCTTTCTATTAGTTATTTAAACCGCCATATTGAAAAGCAATTGATAATATATATTATCAATTGCTTTTCAATATGGCGGCGCTTGCGGCGCGCGACAAAGTTAAGAGGAATAGGGCGAGTTTTAACACCGATCGACATTTAGAACATTCTACAACAATTTTTGGGCTGCCTATGGTAGAATTTGAAAACTATAGAGGACCTGTTTTTAATGAAAACCAACCATTGTGTATCCCAATAATTCCAATCACTGTTGCATCACAGACAGAAATAGGTTTCCATGAGAGGCAACAGTTACCTCTTAGGCTTGCTTGGGCTCTAACAATACACAAGAGCCAAGGACTCACACTTCCAAAAGCATGGACAGATATTGGCAAATCTGAAAGAACTGCTGGAGTTTGTTATGTTGCTATTAGCAGAGTAAAATCACTTGCCTCTTGTGTCATTGAACCAATGACGTATAACGATTAACAAGCTTGAAATCATCAGCCAACTTACAATATAGGCTTGAAGAAGAAAACAGGCTAGATCAGTTAGCACAGGCTACTAGCAGTGCATTCAGAACAACAAACTATAGAGTTTGAATAAGAAAGGGATTTCATATATGGATCCCAGTTATAGTTTGGTATGTACTTTGACTATATACCCTTTTCAGTAATTTAATTTATTATATAATAACTAATTTAGTCCTTGTTATCACTGTATGTATGAAAATATTATGATTTGCAAGACAAAAGAATGGTAAGTTTTTTTGTTTGTTTAGCCCCTCCCCCTGCCCTACCTTTATTTTAATTAATTTATGTGCTACTATGTTTCCACATAAATAGCTCATGCTACCAATTTTTTTCTATAGTTCTGCAATTCTGATGGATGTGAATGCTGCCATGTTAACTGCTGAATGAAACCAAATTGTTGTTACAGCCCAAATATAATATGGATATATTATACATCACGTGAAAATGGATGGTAGCTTCTGGATTAACAGAAATGTTCATGTATTTCTATTAAAACAAGAATGCTGATTTACAAGATTGTATGGATATATATTACATATATTATATTACATCACATGAAAATGGATGGTAACTTCTGGATTAACAGAATTGTACATGTATTTGATTTCTATTAAAACAAGAATGCTGATTTACAAGATTGTATGGATATACTACATCTATAATGCAATTGGATGGAATCTGCCATGTATTAAATTACCATACTTGTTTCCAATCTATACCATATGGATGTCAGGAACATTGTATGTCACAATATCACATACCTATATAAACACTAACCTGTTTTACATCAGTATTGGACAATAATGATGGCCAACAATGGACACTACCTGTACATGCTAAATAAATACGAAACATCTACATATTGGACAAAAAACCAATGGTCACACTTGGTTATCTAATGGAAAATACAGTAGACTGTCATTACTTTGAAAGAATATGAAAACTTAACTTACAACAAAGTAGTCATATCACGTTTAAAGACATATGTTTGTTCTTCCTAATTGTGTTCTTCTAGACGTTTTGACAAGTGAAGACGGTTTAAAACATTGGTACCAATAATCACATGTAGTAATTATTGCATATTGTAATTTCCATTTTTTTTTAAACAAAATAAATTCATACATACAGTGTGATAAATGAATTTTATTGGCATAATCACTCCCCAGGGCTTTGGTCGTAAGGCAGCACTTTCCTTGCGATAGTAACTTCTAGTATATGAATAGTCTGAATTTTAATGTCAGCTGCAGCGAACATTAAGTATAATTTCATTGACATTGTACATGCATTCAAAATCCTATTCTATTGTTCTCACCTGTTTTTGTGCTTTCTAGCTGTCTTAGGCTTTTCTCGATTGTGCTAGTAAAACTGGCATATTGTGCCACTAGCACAGTAGCAGTGCTCTTTTTTTGTCTACATTGTGCTAGAATTATCTGGAATTAACATTTTTGTTAAATTAAATTATGTTATTCACAAAATACACTAGAAAGGTCAAAAATAACTTTTACTGTTAGCGAAAGCAAGTTACTAACTTTTATAAAAACTGGTAATTTCTTTACCCTGAACTATTCTTAACTTAAAAACTTAATAACACAACATGAAACCCAAAAGAAAGAGAGCATTGGCTTTTAAATTAGTCAATATCCAAATCGCTTCTTAATATTCGGAATAGACTGAAGCTTAATGTAAAATATTTTGTAAAGCATCAGGTTTTAAATGAATCAAATCTGCATCGTTAGTCTACAGGGTGTATCAAAAAAAAGGAGACCTTTAGAAATCAAGCATATTGTTAAAATTTGAATGCCATTTCAATTGCACATATGCTGAACTGTGGTGCGTGAAATACTGATGGAGTGCATCTATTAGAAAAAGGAGACCTTTAGAAATCAACCATTGTTATAATTTGAATCCTGGAGCACTTTGCTAAGCACATGGTAGATTGTTCCCAGGAGCAGGCAATCTTTTGGTTAAACGTTATTTCAAATTCTAAAGGTCTCCTTTTTCTAATATATGCATCCATCAATATTTCACGCAATACGGTTCAGCATATGTGCAATTGAAAAGGCATTCAAATTTTAACAATGTGCTTGATTTCTAAAGGTCTCCTTTTTTGATACACCCTGTATAGGTGGATTTTATCAGGCTCCACTGAGCTCATTGTCTATGAAGGGCGCGCTTAAACAAAATATCTCAGTATACAGGGTGTATAAAAAAAAAACGCAACCTCGGAATTTCCTACGAAATCACTTTGCAATTCTTAAGCATAAAAGATTTTAGGCCCCTGGGAATTGAAATCGAATTGCTAATAGATCATATTACTGTTGTTGTGCATTAAATAAATGCATAAATTTTGCTTTATGCACTCGCGTGTGCAGTAATTTTGACAGTTATGCTATTTTAAATTCCCAGGCGCCTAAAATAATTTGTCTTTAAAACAATGACGATTTCTTGGGAAATTCCGAGGTTGCGCTTTTTTTTATACACCCTGTAGAATCCCATTGTTTGACCTACATTCCCATGGGATGTTAGAGCGTGGTCGGATTGCATGAAACCTAAACATACTGATCAATAGTAAACAATTATCGGATGAGGCTGAGCATGATATCAAGAATTACTCAAACGAGTCAATGTTATCTGCCGAAGCGAAGCTGAGGCGGATAACATTGACGGCGAGGTCTGAATAATTCTTGATTTCATGCGCGCGAAAGCCGAATAAAATACAAATTTTGTGACCTCACATGAAATTACTCTATAGAACATGCGCATTTGTGAACTGAAGAGTAAAAATATAAGACAATTTGTGATAACTTGGCTTTGAGTAACATTCCTCATCCTACTAATTTAACTTCCATATTAAATTTTAACTTCCATATTATAGCACTTCCGTTACAGTCGATATTAGTTTGATAATTATATAAATTCCTTAGCTTGTTTTGGATTCTTTGCAAATAATAATCGTGGCGCATTAAAAGGACAGCAACGTCGCTTATTTTATTAATTAAAAAAATACTTTTTCTATAGAATCGCCATGTGACTCTGAACCATGTTTTAACGGAGGAAAATGTTCAAATGTTGGAGATTCATTCGAGTGTAAATGTCCTTCTGGTTATAAAGGGAAAAGATGTCAGGAAATAGGTCCGACTTCACTTTATTTTCCACATTTCTATTAATTAATCGATTACGGCACCGTATCTGTTGCACATTGCTATTAATTGATACCCTTTGTATTCCTTTAATCAAAATTGTGAAAAAATGTTTTAGTATCTCCGTGTGATTCTGGACCATGTGAAAATGAAGGTGAATGTTCAAATGTTGGAGATTCATTCGAGTGTTCATGTCCTTCTGGTTATAAAGGAAAAAGATGTCAGGAAATAGGTACGATTACGGCACCATATCTGTTGCACATTTCTATTAATTGATACTCTTTGTAATCCTTTATTAACCAAAATTGTGAAAATATGTTTTAGTATCTCCGTGTGATTCTGGACCATGTGAAAATGGAGGTGAATGTTCAAATGTTGGAAATTCCTTCGAGTGTTCATGTCCTTCTGGTTATAAAGGAAAAAGATGTCAGGAAATAGGTACGATTTCATTTTATTTCATTTTATTTTGCCCATTTCTATTAATTGATACTCTTTGTAATCCTTTATTAACCAAAATTGTGAAAATATGTTTTAGTATCTCCGTGTGATTCTGGACCATGTGAAAATGAAGGTGAATGTTCAAATGTTGGAAATTCATTCGAGTGTTCATGTCCTTCTGGTTATAAAGGGAAAAGATGTCAGGAAATAGGTACGATTACGGCACCGTATCTGTTGCACATTGCTATTAATTGATACCCTTTGTATTCCTTTAATCAAAATTGTGAAAAAATGTTTTAGTATCTCCGTGTGATTCTGGACCATGTGAAAATGAAGGTGAATGTTCAAATGTTGGAGATTCATTCGAGTGTTCATGTCCTTCTGGTTATAAAGGAAAAAGATGTCAGGAAATAGGTACGATTACGGCACCGTATCGCTGTTGCACATTGCTATTAATTGATACCCTTCGTAATCCTTTAACCAAAATTTTGAAAATATGTTTTAGTGCCTCCGTGTGATTCTGGACCATGTAAAAATGGAGGTGAATGTTCAAATGTTGGAAATTCCTTCGAGTGTTCATGTCCTTCGGGTTATAAAGGGGAAAGATGTCAGGAAATAGGTACGACTTCATTTTATTTCATTTTATTTTGCCCATTTCTATTAATTGATACTCTTTGTAATCCTTTATTAACCAAAATTGTGAAAATATGTTTTAGTATCTCCGTGTGATTCTGGACCATGTGAAAATGGAGGTGAATGTTCAAATGTTGGAAATTCCTTCGAGTGTTCATGTCCTTCGGGTTATAAAGGGGAAAGATGTCGGGAAATAGGTACGACTTCATTTTATTTCATTTTATTTTGCACATTTCTATTAATTAATACCCTTTGTAATCCTTAAAGGCACAGTTCAGCCTTTTGAACGATGCTTTTTAAGGCGCATTTGAGCCCTTTCAATTGAAAAAACTAACTAGGAAAATCACTTAAGCATAATTCAAAATCAGTAAACTTGATGTTTTTAACAATATAAATATTTTAAAATGTTAAAAACATTAAGTTTGATGATCTTGAATTATGCTTAATTGATTTTCCTAGTTAGTTTTTTCAATTAAAAGGGCCGAAATGCGCCTTAAAAACCATCGTTCAACAGGCTGAACTGTGCCTTTAAACAAAAATTGTGAAAAAATGTTTTAGTATCTGCGTGTGATTCTGGACCATGTGAAAATGGAGGTGAATGTTCAAATGTTGGAAATTCATTCGAGTGTTCATGTCCTTCTGGTTATAAAGGGAAAAGATGTCAGGAAATAGGTACGATTACGGCACCGTATCTGTTGCACATTGCTATTAATTGATACCCTTTGTATTCTTTAATCAAAATTGTGAAAAAATGTTTTAGTATCTCCGTGTGATTCTGGGCCATGTGAAAATGGAGGTGAATGTTCAAATGTTGGAAATTCCTTCGAGTGTTCATGTCCTTCTGGTTATAAAGGAAAAAGATGTCAGGAAATAGGTACGACTTCATTTTATTTCATTTTATTTTGCACATTTCTATTAATTGATATTTTTGTAATCCGTTATTAACCAAAATTGTGAAAATATGTTTTAGTATCTCCGTGTGATTCTGGACCATGTGAAAATGAAGGTGAATGTTCAAATGTTGGAAATTCATTCGAGTGTTCATGTCCTTCTGGTTATAAAGGGAAAAGATGTCAGGAAATAGGTACGATTACGGCACCGTATCTGTTGCACATTGCTATTAATTGATACCCTTTGTATTCCTTTAATCAAAATTGTGAAAAAATGTTTTAGTATCTCCGTGTGATTCTGGACCATGTGAAAATGAAGGTGAATGTTCAAATGTTGGAAATTCATTCGAGTGTTCATGTCCTTCTGGTTATAAAGGGAAAAGATGTCAGGAAATAGGTACGATTACGGCACCGTATCTGTTGCACATTGCTATTAATTGATACCCTTTGTATTCTTTAATCAAAATTGTGAAAAAATGTTTTAGTATCTCCGTGTGATTCTGGGCCATGTGAAAATGGAGGTGAATGTTCAAATGTTGGAAATTCCTTCGAGTGTTCATGTCCTTCTGGTTATAAAGGAAAAAGATGTCAGGAAATAGGTACGACTTCATTTTATTTCATTTTATTTTGCACATTTCTATTAATTGATATTTTTGTAATCCGTTATTAACCAAAATTGTGAAAATATGTTTTAGTATCTCCGTGTGATTCTGGACCATGTGAAAATGAAGGTGAATGTTCAAATGTTGGAAATTCATTCGAGTGTTCATGTCCTTCTGGTTATAAAGGGAACAGATGTCAGGAAATAGGTACGATTATGGCACCGTATCTGTTGCACATTGCTATTAATTGATACCCTTTGTATTCTTTAACCAAAATTGTGAAAAAATGTTTTAGTATCTCCGTGTGATTCTGGACCATGTGAAAATGAAGGTGAATGTTCAAATGTTGGAGATTCATTCGAGTGTTCATGTCCTTCTGGTTATAAAGGAAAAAGATGTCAGGAAATAGGTACGATTACGGCACCGTATCGCTGTTGCACATTGCTATTAATTGATACCCTTCGTAATCCTTTAACCAAAATTTTGAAAATATGTTTTAGTGCCTCCGTGTGATTCTGGACCATGTAAAAATGGAGGTGAATGTTCAAATGTTGGAAATTCCTTCGAGTGTTCATGTCCTTCGGGTTATAAAGGGGAAAGATGTCAGGAAATAGGTACGACTTCATTTTATTTCATTTTATTTTGCACATTTCTATTAATTAATACCCTTTGTAATCCTTAAAGGCACAGTTCAGCCTTTTGAACGATGCTTTTTAAGGCGCATTTGAGCCCTTTTAATTTGAAAAAACTAACTAGGAAAATCACTTAAGCATAATTCAAAATCAGTAAACTCGATGTTTTTAACAATATAAATATTTTAAAATGTTAAAAACATTAAGTTTGATGATCTTGAATTATGCTTAATTGATTTTCCTAGTTAGTTTTTTCAATTAAAAGGGCCGAAATGCGCCTTAAAAACCATCGTTCAACAGGCTGAACTGTGCCTATAAACAAAAATTGTGAAAAAATGTTTTAGTATCTGCGTGTGATTCTGGACCATGTGAAAATGGAGGTGAATGTTCAAATGTTGGAAATTCATTCGAGTGTTCATGTCCTTCTGGTTATAAAGGGAAAAGATGTCAGGAAATAGGTACGATTACGTCACCGTATCTGTTGCACATTGCTATTAATTGATACCCTTAATTGTAATTATTTAACCAAAATTGCGAAAATATGCATGTTTTAGTATCTCCGTGTGATTCTGGACCATGTGAAAATGGAGGTGAATGTTCAAATGTTGGAAATTCCTTCGAGTGTTCATGTCCTTCTGGTTAT